TCAATCCTATAGAAAATTTGTGGGCAGAGTTAAAAAAGCTTGTGCGAGCAAGACAACAAATCTGACTCAGTTACACCAGTTCTGTCAGGAGGAATGGGCCAAAATTCCTTCAAACTGTTGTGAGAAGCTTGTGGAAGGATACGCAAAACATTTGACCAAATTTAAACAGGTTAAAAGCAAAGCTTAAAAAATACCAAGGAAATGTGTGTAAACTTTTGACTGTCTAAAAATTAATTAAAAAATCTCAAATAAAATCTCTCATTATTCTGGCATTTATCAAATGTAAATCATCTAGGTAATCCTAACGAACCTAAAATAATAAACGTTTAGTATGATTTACCATCAGACTTTATTTTTAAAAATGGTTATGTTCCTTTTTTTTAGAGTGTATGGTTTCAACTGTATAAGTGGACAAACTACATAAATACTTTCAGACTATTAAAAACATCAATAAACAATCAAAACTTGACAGAGCAAAGATTTAGGTGCTGAATTTGAAAACATAAACAGATGAAAAATGTGAATTATAAGCTATAACACAGCCAGTTATTCATTAGCTGATTTATTTGACCATTTAGTCGATTCATCGGTTGATTTTGTTCATTGTTAGTTGACGTATGTAGATTTATTTGACTGTATTTCATTTTGCACAATCACAAGTCTGTGTTTTATTATTTGCATTTAGCATTACTCTAAACTAACAAACAAACCTGCAATGCTCTTTTGGGTCACGACCCTCCATTTGCAAACCTCGCAGTCTGTTATCATAATCTCACGCTCAGATTCTCTCGAGTCCCTCGTCTTCCCTTCAGGACTGCTTAAGATTCAAGAGTTGTCAAGTCCATAAATCAAGCGTTTCATAGCAACGTTTATGACTCCATGTTTCTCTTTGATGTCTTCATCTTCTTAGCAAGATGCAAGAAGAGTGAAAGCTCAGCTGTTTTGCCCTTTAAAGCATTTATCGCGCTGGTAAACGCAGGTAAAACTCCTGTTGGAACGTGCTGCTTCTCTGCTGAATTACAACCAGAGAGAAAGCAAGTATTCTGCTGGCCTGCTCGCGTACATTAATAATGCCGCACATATTTTCCAGCCCCTTGGGTGTTTCTTTGCCAGCACTATGGATTTTTTTTCTTTCGCCAAAAGCAATCCGCATATTTTGCTAAAGAAACGCCCCCAGAAACCATCTGCAGGTTTTCATATTGCGAGGCGGGAAGTTTTGTCTAAGCGTACTGCATTATTGGATTTGTAGTTTGCCCTTTAAAATGAAGATGCAATTACCCAGAAATCCCAGGGTTTGTGTGTTCATGTGAGTGGACATACACAGTCCTGCGAGCCAACCTAAACAATTTATGGAATTTCCAGTTGTGTGCTACTCCAGTTTGCGGCTGATTACTCTCAACCCAGACTCAAAATCCCCTTGAACCCTTTTGCTTGGTTCAACTTTGTTGGACTCTCTTTTTTTGCTTTGACTTTGTGCACTTTGAATATTACATAACTTGAAGATGAGAAGACCACCGGCATGCTTGACATCTAGATTTTTTCCATATGCCAGTATCTGGGAATGCAAGTAACCCAAACCATTTTCTTCATAGGGAATTGAAAACAAAAGAAAAGGTTAGTGGATATTTACAAGCCAGCAACTCTCTCTTTCTCTGTGTGCGATTAAATTGACCAGCTCAGGGAACTATAATAATTGTTGCTTTGTTGGAGCACAGATCAAGGTCCCATAATGCAAGATGAAAGTGTAAATAAGCTAAAAATGTACAAATAAATTGGTATGTTTTGTTTAAGTTAACATATTTCCATGCCCATGTTGTAGGGCTGAGCAATAAAAACGGTATCAGTATTAATTGACAGTATTGACACCATTGTCAATAATGATAAAAAAGTTCAATATGAAGTTTCAGTATAAAGCGTTATAGTTTTCGTATTAAAACATGGCTGCTTAGTGCAAGTCTTGGCAGGAATGCCAATAAGTTTAGGGTGTAAGTTTATCATTTCCAATGTAGGCGAGTGACTTGCGCTATTTTCAGACCAGCACAACTGTCATTTTCTTGTTTTGCACCTTAAATAGCAATGATTAATGTTTATTTGCCACCCTTCAGAGAAAGACTAAAAAGTACGGGAGAAATATGGGAAAAACGGTAGGGTTGACAGGTATGCTGGTTTGAGCCTCGGCTGTGTCAGTTGGCATTTCTGTGTGGAGTTTGCATGTTCTCCTCGTGTTGCGTGGGTTTCCTCTGGGTGCTACAATTTCCCCCACAGTCCAAACACATGCGATACAGGTGAATTGGGTAGGCTAAAATGTCAAAGTGTAGGAATGTGAATGAGTGTGTTTCCCAGAGATAGGTTGCAGCTGGAAGGGCATCCACTGTGTGAAACATGTGCTGGATAAGTTGGCGGTTCATTCCACTGTGGCGACCCCGGTTTAATAAGAGACTAAACCGAAAAGAAAATGAATGAATGAAAAAAGTTTATGTTTGTCCACCTGTCAGGTTTTGGAGATGTCTGCATCACCATATGGGGCATAAGAACAGGACGTGTCTTTGGATATAACTCAGTTTTTTGACCACACTTCATTATTGTTGTTTATGTATTTGTTTGCTGGATATTAGAGCTGAATTTAGAAATAGTTTTGAAACAAATCTTTGTTCTCAACAAACGAAATTAAATATGTAGACTAATGGATGTTTTCAGTGGAGTGAGTTTCCACCGTTTCCTTACTCCACAAAAGTAAAGGAGTAAAGCAATGTAAATAGGCTAAATGGAGGAGGCTCGTTCTTTATCCTCACGCTGCAGATGCTCTGTTTAACTGTTTTCTCGCTAGTGAGGAATTCAGTTTTTTCACTAACGAAGTCTATCATGTAAATAGCTAATGCGTCACGGCGTGATGCAACTGACTCTTAAAGGGAATGTGAGATAAGACTCTGATTGGTTTAATGCACATTATGCTTAAAACACACCCAGAACTCATTAAGAGAATAAGCTCAACCCTGTTAGACCATGCGCGAAGGCACAGAGCGTATTTTTTCATCCTTAAAATAGCAAAAATGGATTCGGACACGCCATTAATGCTTTTGCACCATGCCCTTTAGACTTAGCACTTAGATTGTGAAAATAGAGTCCATGGTGTACAAGCATTTTCCAGGAGCACCTAGAAAGCGCAGAGCGCACCGCGATTTAAGTAGAACTATCCACACTGCTTCACACTTTGTATGAAATTTACACATTTCAGTAATAACGGCAGACTTATAACCTCAAGCAAACACAGCGCAACCAAACACTTAAGCGCTTTTTTATTTACTCCATAAACTTATATCGGAGCTGAAGCAATAGTTTGTCTGTTTGCTACCTCTGAGAAACCACGCGCTCAAGCCTTTCACGTGTGAGTTTTGGGTTGCGTCAATACAACACACGTGAAAATGAGTGCCATGGCTGGAAAGGAAAAACGATGTAAGGATGTCACCAGAGTGGCTTTTTGGTTTCTTTTCTTGTGCATCCCAGTAACTAGCACCCCATCTGAAAGAGTATGGGGTAATGTAGTCATCCAACTTCACAATTTTAATGTTGCAGTGTGTATTTAAATAATAACGGTTTGTTCCTTTACTTGAAAGCTCAGATTTGACTATCATAATTAGTTTTGTTTACAGGGTTTGAGGTTAACTGTATCGTTATTATTGACACCTTAAAGTTTGCTTTGACTGCTCAGCATTTACTCTTTATCATTGTACACAATTTGAGGCATTTTATTTATCAAGAGTCTCTTTAACACTTATGTATATTTTATTATAAAGAGATGAGATGTTTTGTTAAAATATTTTTGTTTTTGACTATTTAAACTATTTGCCTTGGTAATGTTAGTAAACTTAAGTGAAGTTTTACAAACTAATTTCGAGAGGAGCATGTGATATGATTGACTGCAGCTGGCCACCCATCTACATTCATTAGTTAGCCAATCAGATCTATCCTAACTCACTATAAGTAGCCTAGCTAGATTTACTCCCTTATCTTCGTTTTCCGAAGAAACCCCCCATCCACCCCTTTCTCCTCCTTTCCCTCTTTACTATATGGGAGCTCTCGAGAACCACCTGATCTCGTACTACCCTCAAATGCTCTATGGACCTGGCGGGAGCCCTGGGCTCAACTATCTCCAAGCTCAGGGTTCTCTCCCGGGACAGCATGCCAAACCTGCTAACAGTTGTAAAACAATATCTAAGTGTGAACTCTTGAAATAAAGTGGTTAATAATGAAAAAAACATCCTAATATTCCTAAATGTATTGTTAAAAACTATTCAATAATTATCGATTCCAAATGAAATGAAATATGATATTGTGATCTTTTTTTTTTTTGCTGTATCGCCCAGCTCTACCATGTTGGAGTATTATTCCACAAAAATATTATTAAAAATATGTCCGTATTCAACTGATTGAAATCATAAATCTGTATATAATCCATATGCACAAAAATCTCCCAAGATCATGAGATTGGATAACTGGACTTATCTGAAATGTTGGTTTAGTCACTCTGAAATGCCAAATTCAGTCATCCAAATCCACTAGTAAATTTACCTCCTATATCTACCCATCAGGTTTGTAATTGCAGGTGTCTTCTCCACCGTTTGAAATACAGCTTATTATACAGATTATAACGAAAAAACATATATCTTTTTCATTTGAAGTAGTTTCCCAGGAAATTATGAATTTGTTCTCTTGAACGTTCTGCCTAATTTGTGCATAAATTACATTTGAAACTGACTGATATGAGAACTACTCTTCTAGCATAGAGAAAAAAAGTGAATTAGATGTTAAACAGGCCATTCATTTCCAAGCAAATGAAACTGACTGCAGAAATTGACCACTTTTCCCACTTTCACCCATCATTTGACAGAATTAAATCCCTGTAGAGCTCAGAAGTGAACTACGGTGACCTCTGAATCAATGGGGCTTGCCACACTTGACACGGTTAAGCCTACCGCATTTCAGCGCAGTGATCGTCTCACCGTGGATGCTTTGGCAGAATTGTTCTCTGCCGTCTGCAGCGGGAGCAGGTCCGTCTGGTGAAGAATGCTTTTCCCGGATCACTCTGTGCTCCCAGCCAGAGAAGGAATCTGCGGCCTGGCCCACTGGCTCGATGAACAGTCTTTCCTCTGCAGTCTGAACCAAGCCAGTCTGGGAGAAAACACATGAGGTGGAACAATCAATAACATTAAGCAAGAAAAACGATCTCTGGTTCGCAACTCTGGTTTGTATTAGAACTATACAGTAAGAGTCTAAACAGATCAATTAAAAAATATAGCAAACCATTAAAAAAGTTACTTATTATAGCACTAAAAATACACCATAATGCCTTTTCTGTGAAGAACAGATTGAATTTGAAGTTGTGCAGGCTGCTTTTCTCTTCTTTTATGATCACCGTTATCTTCTGCTGTACATCAAAACTGATGACACAACTTTAATTTTCATTAAACTACTCCTGTAAGCTCGCACAGAGAACCTCAGCCGATGTTCTCCAGGAGGGAGCTGATGTGTTTTCTATGACAGCAAAGCCAGGATCATTCATCATGAGCCCCTCCGAGGATCTCACATATACGTTAGCCTTGTTTCCCCTCCGTCAAACTGTGACGCCCCGCGTGCCTTCAAGGGCACACAGACATAAAATGAGAGAATAATTCATCTCCTGTGGCCGAGGCCTGAAAAACAACCAAGTCAGCATCAAACCCGACAACAGCATTCGGTCAAGTAGGGGTGCGTTCCCAAAATCACCATTCGGCAAATAAAATCGCATCCGTCTATCAGTTGTAACAAACATTGGGTGATTCCAGCGTTTCCCATAATCCCAATGAAAATTGGCAAACAGCATCGCAAACTAGTGCACAGTAAAAATGCTGAGTTCCACTTAAGGGTGTCACGATTTTCGATTTTTAATCGAAATCAATCGAAATTTATCCTTAACTTCGATTATTAAATCAAAAAATAGAATCGTCGATGCTGCCACGCCCCCATGTCACGTTAGCTTGGCTTGCCAAGCGGGAAAAAACATGCTTGTTGAAGTGCTTGTTAAACTGCAGAAGCAGGAGACCTGTCGACAGAATTTAAATTCTCTCCTCTTTCAATGAAGTCGCCGGTGTTGAAGTATTTTGGATTTCCAGTGAGTTATGTTGACAACGTTCATGTTGTCGACAAAAAAAAAACACAGTTTGCAAGCTCTGCTATGTACGTATTACGGTTGGGATGATAGACGATGGACGCATCGCGTTCCTCCGCCCCGCACCCGTTGCAAATCCGCTCGCGAAAAATACACACTCAGGCCCTGTTTACACTAATATGTCTTTGTTTTTAAATGGCATTTTAGAACGACGACGATCCACATCCACACTGGCGTGTAGCATTTCTGAGCAGCCCTCCTTCCTCACTACCGCTGTAAATGCACATCACGTGACCACACACACTCATTCACACACAGACACAGACGCACACACATTGTCATGCGCTCGAGACAGCGGGTCAAGGCAGCCAGCGAGTCAGTAGACTGCTTCCATCTTTTACTTTCACACAAGTACTTAGTCATTTCAGCGAACACCTCAGATACTGTTGGCTGGTTCCTGTTGGTTGTGCACCTTTTTTACTGACGCCATTATGACGACACAGATCACTGCCTATTCACGAGTCCCGCAGAAAAAAGTGATTGACAGGTGGTAATTATGTGTGTAACTTACCTTTATTCATTTACTGTATGATTTGTTTATGGGTAAAACAAAGACCATGCAGGTCAGGTAGTTTAAACGGTAGGCTACTAATAATTAATTCGTTATTAATTAATTAATTATTCATAATCGAAAATCAAATCGAATCGTGACTTAAGAATCGAAAATGTAATCGAATCGAGGATTTGGAGGATCGTGACACCCTTAGTTCCACTTAATCCCTTCATGTCGTTTCAGTGCAAATCGATTAAGTTAACTCAATGTTTTTTTATACAATTTTAAGTTGATTGAACATAAAACAATCAAGTTTAACCTCAGGAATTGTGTTGTTTCAGCTAATTTGAAATTAGTTTGAACAAGCAGACATTGTTTGTTTTTTTTAGTGTGTGCTTGGAACTAGGTGACATGGCACAGCAAGAAGGTCACTGGTTCAAGACCCTGGCATTTCTGTGTGGAGTTTGCATGTTCTCCCGTGTTGGCATGGGTTTCCTCCGGGTGCTCCGGTTTCCCCCACAGTCCAAAGACATGCACTATAGGTGAATTGGATCAACTGAATTGGCTGTACTGTATGAGTGTGTGTGTGTGAGTATGAAAGTGTATGGGTGTTTCGCAGTACTGGGTGGAAGAGCATCCGCTGCATAAAACATCCCATGCCAGAATTAGGCATGGGCTGGTATAAGATTCTGACAGTATGATAACCTTGGAAAAAAATATCACGGTTTTACGGTATTGTGACTACTGCTCTGAAATGAGTTTTTTTTAATGTCTGGGTTAAAAACAACAACTTTTTCCAATTTGAACACAATTTATTTTATTTAGAGATATATTTGAAATGTTTCTGAGCATGTCAGGCTAAACAATTCAAACGAGTCATTGACTTCTGCTGACATTATTAGTTTAAAAAAGATTTTTTACAATTTAAAATGAAATCTTTGGAGATGCTTTCTGTTAAAGATATCTGTTGTCCTAAAAAAAAACGTAAATAAAAAAAATCCTGATTAACCGCTGATAAATAAGGGACTAAGCCGAAGGAAAATAAATGAATGTTTGCAACTACAGCTCTCGATTTACTGCAAAAAGGTTTTTCTTACTTGGAGTTTTTGTCTTGTTTCTAGTCCAAATAGCTAAACAATTCTTAAATCAAGGAGCATTATCTAGACAAGCAAAAAATATTGCTTTGTTTACAGAAATAGCCAAAATTAAGTGAGATGATCCAAATAATCTGCCAATGAGTAAGCAAAATAAATAAGCTGCTTGAAATGTTCTGAAAACAAGACAATATTTTTTGCTTGTCTAGAAAATGCTTCTTCATTCATTATCTTTTCGGCTAATTCCCTTTATTAATCCAGGGTCGCCACAGCGGAATGAACCGCCAACTTATCCAGCACATTTTTACGCAGCAGATGCCCTTCCAGCCGCAACCCATCTCTGGGAAACATCCACACACACATTCACTACGGACAATTTAGCTTACCCAATTCACCTGTACTGCATGTCTTTGGACTGTGGGGGAAACCGGAGCACCTGGAGGAAACCCACGCGACTGCAGGGAGAACATGCAAACTCCACACAGAAACGCCAGCTGAACCGAGGATCGAACCAACGACCCAGCGACCTTCTTGCTGTGAGGCGACAGCTCTACCTACTGCGCCACTTAGTTGCCGAAAATGCTTCTTGATTCAATAATTTTTTTTGATAATTAAACAAAATTATTTTTGCCATGTTTATGTTATAAGCAAAGTGACGTATGGACTAGTATCTGAGCAATACTGACTAAAGTACTTGTAGTATCACAGGAGTCATGATGCAAAGAGTCATGTTTCTAAAGCTAATCCAAATGTAAAAAATGTATTCCTAATTTCTCTAGTGTTTCAAAACATTTATGAGTTTCTTTCTTCTGCTGAACACAAAAAAAGTTATTTTAAAGAATCCATTGACATCCATGGTGGGAAAGAAATACTATGGAAAGTATTCTGCCAACATTCTTTATAATATCTCCTTTTGTGTTCGGCAGAACTAAAATAATTTGAAACAAGTTGGGAGAGAGTAAATGATGACAGAATTAAATTCATTCATTCATTTTCCTTTGACTTAGTCCCTAATTTATCAGGACTTCAGCTTGCGAGGAATTGCAAAAAAGAATGGGTAAAAATTTCCAAACACAGGGGTGCCAAGCTTGTAGCATCATATTTAAAAAGACTGGAGGCTGTAATTTTTTGCCAAAGATACATCAACAAAGTATTGAGCGAAGGCTGTGAATACTGATGTACATGTGATTTTTTAGGTTTTTTATTTTTAATAAATTTGAAACTATTTAAAAAACTTTCGCATTAAAACTTTTTACATTGTCATTATGAGGTATTGTGTGTAGAACTTTGAGGGAATAAATGAATTTAATCCATTTTGGAATAAGGCTGTAACATAAAGAAACAATATCAATACTTTCCAGAAATGTATCCATTTAATGTTTATTATCCTCAAATGGTGTTACATTTTTTAATAAAGCTAAAATGTCCTGTTTGGCTCTGATTTAATTCGTCATTGAGTTTAACTTCTATTATCTATTCGGTGTTGAGATTTACATGTAGTGCATTTATACTTTGAATTTTTAATATTGAGTTGAGTAATTAAATAACTTATTGAGTTACTGGGTTACTTTTTAAACATAGTCATTAAAAAATGTCATTTAAATACAATTTTAAGGATGTAATTAGTAATTAATAAGGATGTCCAGATCCGATCAAATGATCAAATATCGGGGCCCGATCATACATATAGATATGTATATATATATATATATATATATATATATATATATATATAACACATCAATAGTTATGGGTGACACAGTGGCGCAGTAGGTAGTGCTGTCGCCTCACAGCATGAAGATCGCTGGTTTGAAACTCAGCTGGGTCAGTTGCCGTTTCTGTATGGAGGTTGCATGTTCTCCCTGCGTTCACGTGGGTTTCCCCGGCAAAGTAGAACACGGAAACAGCTTAAAGTGTAAAGCGCGAGTATGTCTGCGGGTCTGGAGGTATTTTAAATTTGATGACAATAACATTGCCGTAGTAAACTATGAGATATGTAAACTTGGGATTGTCTGCTGGGTATCTTAAGCTGAGGTGCTATTTGTTTTTTAGATTAGATGTTTTTATATTTACTGTTACATTAAAGTCCAAATGTGAAGAATTGATGTTGTTTATTACTTGATTTAAATATAAATAAAGAAGTAAATAAAAAATAAGGAACATCCTGGATCTGTTTCTTCGCTCTTCTTTATTCTTTTTTTATGTATTATAGAAGTATCGGATCGGGTTTTGGCATCAGTAGATAGACTCGAACTCGAGGACGGAAAAACTGATCGGGACATAGCTAGTAATTAATTACATTTTTGAAGTAACTTCCCCAACACTGTTCGGAAGGTTATAATAGTTTTGGATTTTTCATTAGTTTTAGTTTCTATTT